TTAAGTTTAACTAGCTGGGCCTTGCCTAGCGTACTTTATTATTTTATTCACATATATAATTCATGTATTACAGGAACTATTATTTATAAATAATTCTACGCATCACTAGACTATATCTAACCTACTCCATATTGGCTTGTTGTTGTCAGCCTTACCCCAGAGGGGTTGTGCTGAGGCTAATGTGCCAAAGCCCCGTTAGTGTTATTATTATATCATTATGTTCTATTTGGCACTGTGTAAATTTAAAGGGGAAGTTTGAATGTGGGGAACTGGGGGTAGTACCTATTTTTGGTGAATAGAACTACTGCAGAGAAAATTCTTCTAAACCTGACCACCTGCAGATGGGCGTACCATTTAATTTTCACCTTCCTAGAGCTATCCAAAAATGTTCAAGGAACTTATTTCACAGACTTACAGCCCATAGATTGTTTTAGCTATCGGTATTTACTACTGTTTTGACTGTCTTCTCGGAATAGGTAACTGTCAGAGTGATCTATTACTGGATTGGAATAAGGCCTTTCTGGAAACTTGCAGGAAGAGACATCAGATACCACAGGGAAATGATCACCAAGCCATCTTTACCGAAAGCGGACACCTCATACACCTTACAACTTCTGGCGATTATCATAACACCAACCAGACAATCGTCACGTCATGACACCTTTTCTGGAAATCACAATCTCAACGCATGCTGGATCAACGTGTGAAATGGCTTTTCATAAGAAACAGCACATATACAGGTTATGGCGCCATATACCGTATTAATTCTATTCAACTGTCCTCACATGGAGTTGAACTGATATCTTGTGATTTGACCTGTGGAGTGTTAACCACTACACTACAGACCCACAGGTCTGCTTTTAAACAATACATATATAATATAAATTTTAGAATCATATTAAAAAATTTTTAGTTTATCTTCAAAAATAATTACCTAATTAATAAATTTGAATTTTATATTTTTGTTAAATAACTTATAAAAAATTATAATTATAATTATATTAAAAATTATATATAATTCTTAGTAAATAATTTTTAAATATTATATATATTTACTTCTTATTTTAATTTTTATAAACAATTATTTAACTTATATCTTTTTTAATTTTTTTAAGTTTAATTATAATTATAAGTTTGAATATTAATACTTGTAATATTTAAGTAGTAATTTTATAAATATACAAAATATAATATTTTTTATAGATATAGAATTTAACTGTTATTTTTTTTAATGTTAAGTGTGGCATTTCTCACAATCTTTATTAATAGAGTAAGAGTAGTTACATGATTAATATTAAGATGTAAGATACATTGCTATACATGTCAACCTACCACTATGTTAGATATATTTTTATAAAAAAAACTTTTAAGCAAGGAAAAAAGAAAAGAACTATCTAATCTTGGAGGGCTAATGCCTCCTTAATAATTTATTTATTTAACTGTTATTTTAAAAATTGAATTTTTAATATTAAGTATAAATAAATAAATTAATATAATTATATGTTTTTTGATAGTAATAAATAAATTAAATATTATTTTTATAAGAAAATTATAACAATGAATTATAAAAGTAATTAAAATAATAAAAATTAAAAAAAAAAAGATGCCATATAAAGTTATATTATTATTTTGTTATAAAGTAATTATAAGTCAATATTTATTATATTATAATTTGATATTATATTCAAATTTGAGTTTAAATATTATTGTATTAAAATTAATTTTGATATTTATTATTTGATAATATTAAATAAAATTTGTCAATATTTAATAATTTAAGCTATCTATCAATAAAATTTATTAAATAATAATTTTTATTACTTTATATTATTATTTGTCAATGAAAAATAGCAAAAAAATATTAAATTCCAGTTTTACTTAATAAATCTTTTTTTAAAAAATTTTTAAAAATATTTATTATTTGTAATTATAATGGAAACTGTAGATTATATAATAAAAAGCAAAAAATGAAATCCAACAAATCAAGAATATACTTTATGAACAGAATAAGAAGCAAATCATTAAATTGAATTATAAATTTAATTCTATATTGAATAATACTAGTATTGAAAGTAATAAATTTGAATTAAAGTCAATAATTATGAAATCAATAGCAGTTTTAATAACATGTTTGAAAATTATTTGATACTTGATTGTAAAGTTTCACAAAATTTTAATAAATTTACTGATAATTATTTTATGTGAATTTTATTATTAATACAAACTTTAGAATAAAACAATAAACATTTATAGAATTTGTAAAATCAATGTCAATCAAATTCGGTGATATTAATATAATACAGAATTTTTTAAAAAAAAATCAAAATTTTCAATGAATAAATACTTAATTCAAAAGGTTTTTTGTTGTGAAAATCCAACATCCTATTATTATTTAAATAATAAATTCGAAAATCCGTTAATAATAAAGTTAAGAAATTTATATTTTATTTAATTTTATAAAAAACATTTTAAAAGAATTTTAATTTATTTGCTAGAATTATATGTATAGTTTAGTATATATTATACGGTATTATATAATTAAACAAGAAAAAAATTTTTTTCAAATAAAAAAATTTTACGTGCAAAATAAAACCAATGTCCCATAATGGTAAGAGCCGTTCTTTTGTGGTTTTAAAAGTTAATGAATATTTGTCTTTGTTATAACACTAAGAACAGAAAGTCTGCTTGATTAGATATGTTATGTTCTGTCATATTTTTTTAATGGAATGGAATTCTCAATTTGTATACGTCGTGCAAGTCACTAATCACATGACCCGCTTTCCCGGCTCAATTTTACCCGCTGTAATGCATGTTCAATTGATTCGATTACTGCACAGTAATTGATTGTTAATCAATCAATCATACTTTACTTTTTTTCAAATTTGTTCTTTCGTAAATATGAAAGTCTTTGGTATTTCACTTGGAATTTATGATTTGTTCGTATTGAGCTTAACATTACTTGTTATAAAAATACTCAGCTATTATTACAAGTATTATACGAGAAAAGATCCACTTCCCGCTCCATTTCCACTCCCATTTGTTGGTCACATCTTTGATCATCTTATCTATAGTAGCGATTTTTCCGAGTACTGCCATCAATTGCAAGACAAATATGGTGACATTTATGAGCAATGGTTTGGAAGCGAGCGTGTAATATTCACTACAAGAATAGAAGATATGGATAAGATATTATCACCATCAACTAAAAGCAAATATCTGACAAGACTTCCTAATCCCGAAGGATTGAAAGAATTAGGGGTATTCGGAAAAGGACTTTTACTCAACCACGATGTTAGTAATTGGAAATTTAATAGGCAATTTTTTACCCAGGCCGTATCAACGTTAAATTTTTTAAAAGAATCCGTTAATTGTACACAAGCAGTATTTAACGAGATGGAAGAGTATTGGAAAATTGGATTAGACGATAATATTATTACCGATTTTTCTGAGTGGTCACATGGTCTTGCTACGGACATCATATTTCAAATGATAACTGGAAAGAAAACATGGGCCACAGCTTCTTATCTTTTGACTGTTTCACCTGGACTAAATCCGATTAATTTGCAGGGGCTTGATAAAGAAGATATTAAAAAATCTTCTGAATTATCAAAAGCATTTCAAACGTATATAATGGGACTAGATTTTTTTACTTTTTTTCCTAAATGGGTAAGACTCTATATCCCTGGTTTTAGAGATACCCACAAGAAAATTTTAAGCGCGCGAGACGTACTGTTTAATAAATTAGACGATATAATAAAGGAGAGAAGAAAGGAAATTGAAGGTACACCAAAAAACGAGAAATTAAGATCCGACATGCTCACACTGCTGATTACCGCCAATACGGATAGAAACATCTCGGATACAAAAGATAACACTCAAGAGTACACAAAACCTTTAACAGATGAGGAAATACGTGGAATTATTATAGAAGCCTTGGGAGGCGGAATCGACACCGTAAGTATTGTCGTTATTGTTATTTATTACAGTGTTATGGTTTGTTGTTTGACCATTTATTTTTTTAAATTTAATTTATAGACTGCCAATGTATTCAGCTTTATTATTTATTACCTTGCTCATTATCCGGATGTTAAAAATCGATTGCGTCAGGAAATTGATAATACAATTAGCCATCGATCGATTACATATGAAGACTTATCACGCCTGACCTATTGTGAAGCAGTAATTAAAGAAGTGACTCGTATGATGGCCACAGCACCCTTCATAGGTCGTGTTAGTTCTGAGCCGGATTTAATAGGAGGTGTTGTACGAGAAGCGGGCACACGTTATTTTATTTTTACACCAGGAATTCATTTAAATAAGGATTTTTGGGAAGAACCCCAAAAATTTAACGTTGATAGGTTTGTTAATTTTAATGAGCAAGAACAACAGAGCGAGAAGAAGTATAGTTTAATTATGTGGGGCGGTGGATTAAGACAGTGCCCTGGTAGAAAAATGGCAATGATTGAACTGAAAAGTCTATTAGTTTTAGCATTCAAAAATTGGGATATTGACTTGGTAGATTTGAATGCACCACTGAAGTATGAAGTCGGTCTCGTTAGAAGTGCCAAAGATTTGAATGTTACGATTAAACCTCGAAGTAATTAAAATTTGTTTAGCAAGAATGTTGGAAAGCACAAGTTTGTTTAAACTACTGTGTTATGTATAAGCACTACACAAAATATATTAATCTTATTTTGATAAATAATACCTGCTACAGACAGTACTGTACAGTGTTGATGAGTTTACAATATTGACTCACATATTCGATATTTACAAATATTATCTGCACAATTTTGAATTAAAAACTATGTTCAATATCATTTATTGAATATTACCACATATAAATAAATCGCTCATTTTTGTTGCTATTTCATATAAAATACATAACATACTGTATACGTATCTATATAGAAATAAGTAAGTTTATCGCATACATATTTAATTTAAAAATCGTTTTTTTTCTATAATTTAATAGATAATTTTACTAAAAGAAATGATTTTGTTATAGTATATTACTTTATCTTTGCTGTTACAGAAAAGTATAACAAATCAACTATTTTTATCAGAATTATATTATATTATATTGCATCATACAGTATTATTTCTCAAAAAAACATATGTGTACCTTTAATAGTATGTATTTTGAGACGCTAATCGCTATCATCAACTTTAGTGCATTAATAAATATTCTTTGGATAAAAAATTTATTAATAATAAATAGAAGAACAATAAAGTCAAGAAGTTATAATTATTGTTAATAATATTAATTATAGTATATTTAGATATAATTATTTTATCATGGTCATTATTGTTTTTATAAAACTTTTATCATCATCATTTGTTTGTTTGTTTGTCAAAATTTTTTTATTTTTACTTTTATTTTTAAAATGTTTTTTTTTAAAAAAATAAATATTTATAATCATTACTGTTTTTCTTGTATTTTTAAAAATGATTATTAATAACTAACAATCATATAATTAATTATAAGCATAATAATATTTAATTTATTGCATATCTTTATATTCAAGTGATATTTTTTTTCGAAAATTATAATTTAAAAAAAATTTTTTTAATATACTGTATGTCCCTTGCGATTAAACAAAAAACAAAATTATTATTTCAAAAAATTTTTATTAAATTAATTTATAAATTTATGCGAAAATCTTTTTAAAAATCTAATATTTATAATAAAACAAACAAGTTTTTATAATATGTGATAATAAATATACTGTATATAGTATAATTATAATGTATTAAATTTTTTAAATTAAAAAAAATTTTTATTAAAAATATTTATGAGAAAAAACTTGAATGTTTTTGGTTATTGTATGATAAAAAGTTAAACATTTTAAATACATTTATTAAAGTTATTATGTTTTTAAAAGTTATTGTAATATTTTTAAATATTTTTAAATTATTGGTTTCTAAAAAATATTTTTTAAATTATTATAAAATTTCGAATAATTTTGAATAATTCACACAATTCTTTTTGCATTACTGTATACTGAATTTCGATAAGTTTAAAATATCAAAAAATTTATTGTGGATTTGCTAATATTCAATCAATAAAATAAATAAATAAAATCTATTTATTTTTACAACACTGCCAAATGCATATACTGTAAATATTTTTATTGAATTTTCGATGCAATAATTTAGTAGTTATTTAATAACTTGATTAATAATTACCGTGATCAAATAATGAATTTATTAATTATCATCATCATAACCATAACAAGGAAATATATGTTTGATATTTAAGGTATATTTTTTACTACATATATATATATATCGATATTATTTGTGAGTATTTTTTCTTGTAAAATTTAATGTCTTGTGAATTATACAGTATCTGGATCGTAAATTATTCACGTGATTACAAATAAGCTCGGATCTCGTTAATCAGTTCCGAAACTAAAAAGGATTTTTTTTAAAGATATGTATACAGTACTACTGTATATGGTACGTATTAATGATTTAAGGGACCTCGTCCGATCGAAAGCCGGGGAACCATAATTAGTTATGATAAAAAATTTTTCGATTAACTTTGATAGGTAAAATTGATTACGAAAATTATCGCAAACATATGACTCGCAAACGAAAAAGTGTCAGAAATCTCCTTGGAACTAGTCGGAACCGATCGGACCGATTGACATCTCTAGATCTCAGCCATTTTTAAACGTCTTCGTGTTACTGTGCGTTTAAAAAATCATCGGCAAATCTTCTACGAAAGAAATTCTAGTTGTGATCTTTACATTAGTTTTTACCGACACAACATAAATAATGCTCGAAGGACCCATATTAAAAATTTTTTGCCTCCTGGCCTGTTTGTCGCCTACCACCGTATCGGCGAGACCACCACTCTCAGATATGTTTGGTTTTGGATTAGAGAAATACATTCCGTACATAGTTATCAGTGCAATTTTTGTATTCGTAATGATTCCGACACATGAAAAATTCCAAGAATTCAGGATGATAATCTTTACGGCTTTAGAATTATTTTTGGGATTTCTTTTTGCGCCCACCTTCTTTTACATGACCGAAGGTCTCAGCGGGACGACGATAATTTTGATGATTTACGGTTGTTCGATAACTGCGTTAATGATAATGCTGATGCTAAGTGACAATTGCCAACGAAGGCCTCAACAATTCAGTATCAAAATCTCGATTTCCTTAGTAGCAATATGGCTTAGTTTTCTACCTGTACTCTCTTACGTAATGGAAGGTTTTGGCGTGACGACAATAGTTACCATAAGTACCAGATGTGTACTGTTGGTATTGATATTAATAGTAAAGTTGAATAGTGACCATGTAATAATTCCAATAATGTCGGTTTTAATAACCTTCTCGGCTTTTGAAATGATTGTTTATTTGATCATGGTTTTTTTCAAGACAGATTTCGATCTCAGATTTCAATTCCCGGTTTTGGTTGTTAATTTGGTAGTAGGGTGTTGTTTTTCATGTTGCCAGGGTACAAAAGCTGGTACAATAATTTCTTGTGTCATGGGCGGTATAGATTTCTACCTTTTTTTCTATAATCTATTAAAGGAAGTAAACTCAATTTCACTTTTACTTTTCTGGACAGATTTGTGGTTTACATTGTTGGCTATTTATCTTGTCATCGAGGATGGCATTTTTCCCATTGCGGACAAAGCAAGGCCTAACGTTCAGGACTCTACCAGTATTGTATAATTTTTTTAGATAATGTAAAATACAGTAGCGGGCCTTTTTAGTGGCCCAAATTTCTAAACAACAAAATACTGTAACGAGGACTACAGTATAGGCTCTCAAGAGAAACCTTAGTTAGTTAACTCTAAATAAGAAATTCATTTATTTCGATTCTCGCCAAATTGAGTGCGCTTCTTGTTGTGATGTTACTTGCGTTGACGTTTTCGTGTTATCAAGCATTCTAATCTCAATACTTGATTTCTTAAAGTACGTAAATGTTCAACATTGTACCATATACAGTATCCGGTTTTTAATTATGAAAATGCAATACTGTACTGTATCTCATTCATAAAATTGACTCACCATTTACATGTATTTTCCACGACTGAAACAAGATCAATACGTGCACATTGAGTTGCAAAATTTCATACATCATACCCTAAACTTATCGAATTTAAGTTCAGACTCTGACATGCGTATCAATATACGTGGACGTCCGATACCGTACTGAAACATCAAGGTTATTATTAAGGAGTGATATGTGTATCATTTAATCGATCAAGTCGTTATGCATCACTCACTCATTGCTGACCAATGATTAATAACCATCCATCGGTTATAAATACCGTAAATGGTGGGAAAATTGCTAATTGAATATTAAGGTATTAAGTCCCCTCATCAAAAATTTTCTTACATTTGAGAACCAAACCCGCTTGACGTAAAATGAGATCAATTCATATATTAGATGAATATTACCTGGCCATAACAGCATTAATAACAATTGGATATCAATTATTATTTTTTGCAATCGCCTGGGTTTTTCAAATTGATTCGGGCAAGTCCTCTTCTCTTGCCTATTGATTCCTCTTGATTCCTCTTGTTTTTACAATTCAACTAAAATTCGTAACATTCTCTCTTACCTATCTCAATCGATTGATTATAATTGATAGTAACGGACTTTGGCGGTAAGATGAACTTCTTATCTCATCCTTTTTTTCTTCTGCCTAAAAAAAAAAACGATTATCGTATTTTTACTCTACGTTTTTACGATGACCTCATAGGTGGATCGAATACCGCCATTATCGCTGTTCTAACCTTACTTCTCGGAGGAGTAATTGTTTTTTTATTCTTGTTGCATTTTGGTTTTTTGTTTTTTTCCATTGACTGACAGTATTAATATTTTTCTGTCTCACAAGACATTTTATGACCGTCAAATCATTGCAACAATATTTCAAATAATATGGGGTATTAGATTAGGATGTAAGTGAGTTCACTTTTAAATTACCCTGAATTGTTGCTTCTCTTTTATTATTAGATTAGTCCGATACTTGATCTTTTTCCGTCAATTCTTCATTCTCTTGTTGCAAAAAACAGTTTTCTGCATGTACCGAATGCTAAAATCCAATAGGGATACACGATTTGACAGCATTCGATCGAAATTCACTTCTTTACTCGGATTCTTCGTAATACAAATGATCTGGGTGTGGACTATCAGTTTACCTTTGATCCTCTTAAATTCACCGAGAATGAGTGATCCAAGCTCTGGTGGTCGGGATGTACATTTCGGTAGTGCCACTGATATCGCCGGGATAGTGTTGTTCGTGTTTGGATTGATGATCGAGAGTATTGCCGACATTCAAAAGGTATGGTTAACTTTTCCTTTTGAAAGAATATGTCTTAACATTTTTTTAATTATGTTCGTGATTTTATTCTTGAATTTTGTATATTAGTTCATCTTCCGTCAGAATCGTACATCCCCGAAACAATTTATGAAAACCGGACTGTGGTCGTGGAGCAGGCATCCGAATTATTTTGGTGAAATAACGGTGATTATGCGATCTTTTGTTTGAATTTTTGTCGCTGATGCACTTTTTAAACTTTATGCTTATCTTAAATTTGAGTTGTCAATAGTTATGGTAATGATTATTTTTCAAGTATCTTTACTATACTTCCCATTTATGACACCACGATAAACTGTGATCCCCTATTTTATCTCCTTAGGATCGGAATGTTCTTGTTGTGTTTGCAGCCAACAATATCTGGCGTTGGCACTAATTTAGGTTATCTCTCTATCGCCTCGCCGATCCTCACTATTCGTACGTGTAATAAATTTCCATTTCCACCCCTAGACACGCACACCGATGTCCTAATTAATTAATCATTCGTTCTATTCGCCTATTCAGTTCTTCTGCTCTTCATCACTGGAATGATAGTAAATGAACGTCCGTCACACGAAAGGCAATATAAAAACGGAAATTGGTCAGAATACTCGGAATACCTAAACCGTACCAGTTGTCTGATTCTATTTCCACCGTCGCTATATGTTCTACTACCACAGTCCATTAAGAGCACACTTTTCTTGGAATTTCCGATTTATCGGTATAATCCGGAAAGTGGAGGTAATGAAGGATTAAATAATGATAGGTATTCGAGTGATGGTGAGGCTTTAGAATGGTCGTGAGGAAAGTGAATTTGGTGAAAGTTTTAGAGGAATCGATGATGGTGTAGAAAATTAGGTTCATTCAAGGTTTTGTGGCAACCGAGAAAGGGAGACTCATTTGTCAACTTTTTTGTGAACACGGAATCATTCATTTTTGCTCTCTTATTTATAACTTCCGCTGTATCAACGGAAAAACTCGTAGACCTCAAGGCCGAATGACCTATGTCTCCGACCTGGAATGATCTCTGAGTGCTGGGTTCTCGTGTCCTTTTTTGATTCACATTTCATCATCTTAAATGTTCATGAGATGTATGACATGATATACATGTGAGAACTCTAGGAAAGTTTAGCTGCATATTACAAGATGGATCCTTACCAAATGAAATATAAGTACTGTTAGTTATATCACAATCTATCTCTTCTCTCCTTTCCGTTGTTCTTATTTTATTTGCCTGCATTATTTTTCAAAATCGAAATGCGTTTTGCGTAACTCATGCCACGATCATATTTGATGAGATTTGGATTCCCATTATGAATATATATAACTAATGAATAATTAAAGTTAGGAGTCGAAAGATCACAAGTAGGGTAGGTAGGTACAGTATGTCACGGAGGATTAACATCAGTCCCAGCAACTCATGTCGATACACCTCGAAGAAATGAAGTGATTGATTGATTTTCTTGTCGTGTGCCTTCCATTCATGTTTGAAGGGTCAAGTAGTTTCCCGACATGTGAGAAGAGATGACGATTATTTTAAAAACTTACAAGCAATCTGGAAGAAGAATTCAATGGGTTTTATTCTATTCAGATTGCAATATTGTCTATAACAAAGTAATAAATTTAGTATTTTATCCTATGAAAATCTTCATCTCAAAGGAAATTTATCTTCACTTTGATTTATGTTTTCGACTGATTTATACCGGTATGTTGAAAGTTTTTACAGTAACAACCTTTTATTTGTAGAAACGAAATACAAAGCAAAATAATTTTTTCTTTATATATGCATAATAAGGAGTCATTTGCTTTATTATATTCTGTTCAAATTTAAGTGGCTACTGAAGTCATGGTAGAATAATTTTTATTTGATCCCTTTATCGATGTACAAGAAATTTACAATTATCCTATTTAATTTGCAGCAAAAATTTATTTATATGCAATCAATAAAGTTTTTGAAAAAGTTATAAATACAATGTGTAAAGATCAACTGTTGTAAGCATATGCATTTTTAAACATACAGTATATACTGTATATTGTTGGAATAAACAATTAATTAAAAAAAATCATTGAAATTTTTTATTGAATCAAAATTCAAACAATTAGATAATATTTCTTCAACAATATTTCTTTCATTGGTAAATTCAAATGTTTAAACATACGATATAATAAATAACATCATACAATTATATATTTATAAATTTTATCAAATGCTGTAATGATATAAATAGCTTTGATTTTTTAATAATACAATATACTGTAAACACTATGATTTTAGTTTTTTGATTTGCTTTTTTAAATATAATATGTTGATTTTTTAATTGTGATAAATTAATAAAATACATATTAAAATACATTGTATATTAAAATGATGAAAACAAATAAATTCAAATGTACTGGATATATCAAATACAGTATATAATATTTTATATCGATAATAAAATTTTTCAATAAAATAAACTAAATTTTAATACTTCAAATTGTATTTATTGTATATTAAATCAAATTTATTGATAATCTAATATTTATAAATTGCTTCTATTCGAAATAAATATTCCAATAGTATTTTGACGTTTTTTGTAACACATCAATTTAATTTTTTAAATAAATATTTATTCAAAACTTTTAATTATTTTTAAAAATTTGAAAACTCTAAAAAAAAAATTATTATTTAATTTTAAAAATTCTATATAATCTTTTTCAATTATTTTTTATTTCTTAATCATATATTAATACATATTTTTAAATTTTTTTTAAAAATTTTTATTTGCTTTAACTTGATTTGATATTTTCATAAGTTCAATTTTAAAAATATTTGATTACTAAAGAATTTAATTAAATAAAATTATATGCCTTAAATAAAGAAAAAATTAATACGAATTTAGTATAACATGAGAATTGCCCTAAAAAAGTAATTAACTCAGTAAGATAAATATTAACAATATAAATTAAAAAACTTTGTTTTAATATTGTTAATAACTAAATTATTTTTATAAATTAAATATAATAAAATTATTATAAGTCAATTTTTTAAAGTATTACTTAAAAAGAAAAATTAATAAACTCTTTATTAATAATCTTATTAACTATTCTAAATAATCTAATTATCAAAACAATATATATATATATATAGTATTTTTAATACTAGTGTTATTAAAAATATCTAAATTTTAAATTTTAAAAAAAATTATAATGAAAAAAATAAAACTCAAATAATAAAAATTAGTATTTAAAATTTAATAACAAATTACTTTTGTTAATAATATAATTAATAAATAAAAAAACTTCAACTTAATTTATACTTTTGCAAATGTTTGCAAAAAAAATTTCCAAAAAGAAAAAAAAATATCTGATGATATTTTTCCAAAATAAATTATCATTGTCTTTTTCTTATATTCTTAAAAAATTTAAAACTCAACTAATTTTATATATTCTTAAAAGCTTTAATTTATTATATTAGTATTTTTAATTAAAAGTATTTTCTTATTATTAGTTTCTTTTTATACTATTTTTTTAAAATAAAAATAATATATAATAATATCAATAAAATTATTAAACTTGAATTCATTAAATCAAAACCAATTATAAAATATAATTATCTTTATCCATTTATAATAGTACTAGTTAACAGATTTTTTTTTGTTTTTCTTGATATAAAAATTAGTATATTATTTACTTTATTAATTAATCAAATATTATAATAATTGATAATATTATTATTCTTAATCAACTTTAAAAAAAATTTTTTTAAGTAAATAATTCAAACCAATAAAATTATTTTAATTAAACTTTTTAATAAAAAAATTTCTTGGTTATTATTTCTTCATAATTAAATTTAAGAAAAACAAATAATATAAAACTTTATAAAACAGTATAAAATAATTTATTAAAAATTATTATCCGTCTTTAATTTTATTAACTATATTATCAAAGTAATTAAGAAAAGTTATAATTATTCAAATATATTTTTTAATTTTTTCAAGTAATAATTAACAAATTTAAATATAAAAACAATAATCTTTTTAAAAAATTTTTAATTTGATCAAATCAGATTAGATCAGTTTTGATTTAAATTAAAACTAATTTTAGATTTTTTTTATTTTATATTTAAATAGAAACAAAAAAGAAAAATTATATTAAATTAAAATATATAAAGCAATGAACAAAAAAATAAAAAAAATTTACTAATTAATAAAGTTTTATTATTTTTTGATAATACAATATTATAAATAAAAATTATTTTAACAATTTTACTTTTGTTATTTTATATTTTCTTTATATTTCAGCAAACCTGTTTTATTTTGTTATTTTGTTATTATAATAGTTGCTATTTAAATTTTTTTCAATAATTTTTTTTAAAATAAAACATGAAATTTCTTCTGATAATTATAATTTTTAATATATTTTTTGCTGGCCAGAACATAAGTTACAGGATACAATTGTTTTATTGACAAAAGAAGTAACATGTAGCTTATATCAAAACTTGATCAAAAAAATTGTAACTGCAATAAACAAATAAAAAGAAGGTTATAAAAATAAGCCCATATAAAATATCAATAAAATTAATCACAGCAAGATTTATCTGTATTATATACACTTGAAGATTTAATAAAAAAAATTGTGAAAAAAATAATAGCTAAATTTTATTAGATAGAACAAATTATATTGATAAATATTTTAATTTAGAAAAAAATAATTTAATTGACAATATGTTTTTATATTTTATTATATAATAAATTAATTAATATTGTTTAAATTTATTTTTTTAAAAAAAAAATATAAACCATATTAATTTGAATTAAATAATTAATTGAAAATATAATAATTTAAACTGATATATATAAATATAAATTTAAAAAAATTAAATTAAACAATTTTTAACTACTGTAATTGAAAATTTAAATTTAAAATAAAATAATTTAATAAAATCATATTTATATAAATTAGATCAGTTTCTATTCTATTCATAAAAAATTAAAATTAATAGTCTTTAAATTAAATTAATTTATAAAGAATTAAAATCAATAGTTTTTGAATCAGATTGGTTTAAAAAAATAAATCAGATTAATTTTGGTTTTAGTTAAACCAGTTTAAATCAAACCATTGTAATTCTTAATTATAATATATTAATAAGTAGAATATATGTATTTATCTTTTAATATAATTAAAAATACAATAGAGTAATAATTTTATTAACTTTCTTTTTTTTTCTTTTGTTCTTATATATATTTGTTTATTACAAGTCTCAATAATTTCTTTGGATTTGGTTAAAGTAACAAGTATTAAATAAGACAAGTTTATTAATTATTAGTACACAAATACAAAAAAATATATGATATAATAATCAATTTCTTCTAACTAATTATTTTACTACTTCTATTTATACTAATTGTAACATATCCATAAATTTATTGTTGCATTATGCAAAACTGTAAATGTCTTAATAAAATTATCAGTAATTTCAAAAGACAATGAACTTGAGTGATTATTATTTTAATATCAACAGAGTTGGGACTTTATTAAGGTCAAAAGGGCAATATGTTGGCTTTATATAACATAAAAATACATATATCTATATAAGGTTTATCCTCTAGAGACTTACTATATATACTTAATTAACATAAAAAAATATAAAAGAAAATAAAAAGAAAATAATATAAACAATATGCACGCTTTATGGCTTTATGCTCCTAATTTGATTATATTAACTCATAATAATTAATTAGCAGTATCTTGGCAGTATAGCACATTGTCAAGGGTCAGAATCGCATTATATATGCATCTAACAATTGTCTGGAAACATGTTTTAGACTTGTAGGTTGTTAGAAGTGGATCAGATTCCTTCTGGGCATCCAGGTTACCTGGTACAATGAATCTTGTGGCACAATTATAAATTAAGATTGTTATAAAAACTATATAAACTATTTTAGCTTTATAATATATAATCTGATATACTACAATTTATTACATGATCTATATTAATCAGATCATTTTTTCTGCAAAA